GACGCAGCCCTGGAGGGAGGTGTATTTTTAAGCAGAGGGAATCAGACCCTTCCCAAGGGTCTGCAGATACTGGAAGGGCCAATTTTTCCATTTTTTTTTTTGGTTCTGCTGAGTGAAAGGGAAGATGCTGAGAAATGCACTTGCTGAGGACCAGCCCAGCTGGTCTGTGAGTAAATGGGGGTCCCAACACCAAGGGAAGAGTTGGAAAGGAAAATGAGGCGGCCTGAGGGAATGAACATGTGCTTTCAGGGTTTCTCAGGGCTGTGCCTGCAAAATCCCCCTGCTGAAAACCTGCTCTACTAGAGCCATGTGGTACCTCCAGCAGGGACATGGAGCTGTGATCCCCACTGGAGGTTTTTGTCACCAGGATGAGCGGCCTGGAAGGGACAGCTGTGAGTCTGGGGGTTGTTGGCCACGAGAAAGGGGGACAAAATCAGGTTTGGGGTTAGCCCCAAGAGACCACCTCCTTCCCAGCTGGTGAGTAGACAGGTTGGCAGCATGGAGTACGTCTGTCTGGTTAGGCTGTACCTGGCTTAATCTCACAGGTTTGTACCTGCTGAGGCAGGATTCATCCCACTGGATGGGGCTGTGCTGAGTGTGGGGCTCGGATCACGCTCAGTGAACAAACACCAGATACCCAGCTCTTGCTGGGTTTTATTCTGCAACTGAGTCCAAACCACAAGGGTTGTTTTCAATCAAACAGCAAAGCCACCACCCCGAAAGGGAGGGGAAAACAGACTGTTTTCGTCTCGGGTGTGTTGAGGGCACTAATCATTTCACAGTGGGGGTTACAGCATCTGGGAGAAGCCCAGAGGAAGATACTGGGGTGTTTGTTCTTAGAGCCCAGAGCTTTGCTGGTGCTACATGTGCCTTTTTCATTGCCAGCCCTCCTGTGAGTGTCACTTTGCAGTTCTCTGCCATCTTTGGGGTTTACTGAGACTTCCAAGCTCTTTGATGAATACATGGCTAGTTCCTTCTCTTTGCTATGAAGCAAAGCAGTTTCCCCCCAGAATAAGATAGTCACCACTGTGGATCCAGCAACTGGATCCATTCAGTGCTCTGGGCTTCTTGGAGGTGGTGGAGTCCCACCCAGTTCATTCCCTGAGTTAATTTTATACAGCCCCTCGTGAGAGGTGAGAGTAGGAGTGGTTTTGAGTCCACCTTGGTGGGATCTCCCCAAAAATTAAACTGCTTTACTTGAGACTTGCTGCCCCAGAGTCTCCCAGTGCACACACGCCTTGGGCAGCATCCAGAGGTCAAATGGCAGAGAACTGGAGTGGCAAGGCTTGCAAAAATGCCTGGGAACTGGGAACATCCCGTGCTATACCAGTTTGAAATGCTCAAATCTGTTCTTGGGCTCCGTGGTCCTCCCTGCGTCTGCTTCCCCATGGGGTTAGTTACACATCCCAGCAAGACAAGACCAAGAATTCCCGGAAAACTGAGGAGAATGTGGCCAGAGACCAAGGAATTGTGCAGAGGGGACACATGTAAAATGCAAAACTTTCCTTGTGGAGAAAGCTCAGAGATTTCTGCTGGCGAACCGTCACTGTGACAAGTGTGTGGGCTCACAGTGGTGGCAGGAGGAGTGGGTGGTACCCACTGAGCTGTTTCTGGAGGGGCGACCCAGAAAGTCTAGTTGTTTTCCTGAAATTTTGGTAACAATTCAGGACCAACACTACTTCTCTGCAGAAATAAATGTGTGGCAGGTTTTTTGCAGCTAACTCTCAAGAATCCTGGTAGATGCTTGCTGGAACTCTCCAGGTCATCAATCCCAGGGCAATCAGGAGGATCTGGGATGCCTGCAAAAGCTGTCCCTCCAATCACCTCCCCACTGCTGCTCTCCAGATGTTTCCTGTGAGGAGGCAAATGAAGGATCCTTAAGCTTACATCTTTTAGCAGGCAATCAGGGATTCTCTCCGCAGGGAAGGTTGTTCATCAACAGTTCCGGTGATATGAGAAGGGAGAAGGGTTTCACACTGACAGAGGGCAGGGTTAGATTGGATATTAGGAAGAAATTCTTGGCTGTGAGGGTGGGGAGGCCCTGGCACAGGTTGCCCAGAGAAGCTGTGGCCCATCCCTGGCAGTGTTTAAGGCCAGTTTGGACAGGGCTTGGAGCAACCTGGGCTAGTGGAAGGTGTCCCTGCCCATGGCAGGGGAGTGGAATGAGATGAGCTTTAAGGTCCCTTCCAACTCAAACTATTTTGGGATTCTGTGATTCTCCATGTTGAGGTGGCACCTAAAGACCAAGCAGAGCTTTGGAGGTACTGCATGGCTCCAGTGGGATGCTCCCAGAGGACCACTGTGTTCCCACAGCTCCCAATGCTATTTTTCCTGAGGGAATGGGAGTGACAGGGGCCTGTGAGAGGGGAGCTCTTTGGAGGCTCAGCCTTGGTATAGTTGTGTTTTGGAGCTCATTTATTCAGCAGCTCCTTGTGGCCTTCACAAATGGATGCTGCTAAGTACAGAGACGTGACCGCTCCGGAGCTCGGTTATTTACAGCTCACTGCAGCTGACTTACCCCATCTCCATCAGCAGGGCTGAGGGCAGAAGGAAAGCCTTCTGGAATGAGAGCCAGGAGATAAAAAAACACTCTCCCTGCTTTTTTTTTCCCCTGCTGTTACAAACCCTGAGCCCATCCCAGCCTGACACGGGTTTGGGGGAAATCTGTAAAGCAGCAGGGATCTGAGGGTTTAGGTAGGGACCATGTGGAAACATGGCAGGAGCTTCTCCTCACTTCGACCTTAAAATGTGTAATTACAGCTCAAGTCGGTTCTCCCCAGTCAGCTGAAAACAAAAGGGCTTTTTTGCCTTGCTGTGTCCGGCTCCATCCTGGCAGCACTTACACAATGGGCTCTGTTGGGCCTCGCTCCTCTTGGATTGTGTTTGCTTCTGATGTGTAAGACAAAAGAGCCCTTCACTATGTTAAAAACCAAATGTCCATGTGAAGGGTCTTGGTCACTGGCTGATGGGTCTGGTTTTCCTGCTGACTACCAGCTGTATGTGGCTTGCAGCTCCTTGCAGCCACTTTATGGTTCTCAATTGCTTCATCCCCATGGTTTATTCAGTGTTTCTCCTCTCTCCACCCAAGGCGGAGCTGCCTCTTAAGGTGTTTTCCTCCAAGCAGCTGTGTGGTTGTCAGGAAACATTTGGGCATCCCAAAGGATAGTTGTGGTGCAAAGGACTTGTCTCTAGGCTCTCCCATGCTGAGAGTGGGGAGGAGCAAAGCCAGGTGAAGTGCAGCCTGGCTGTGCTCGGTTAACTCCTACTTTTCTTTCTCCCTGTGCCGCATCACTGTTGAATTCCCTAAAGTGGCTTTGTCTTCCTCAATTTCTCCCTGTGCTTTGCATGTCTCACTCATTTCTTCCTGGCTCTGTTTCCTCCTTCGCTCCTCAACCCCCTCGGCCCCTCATCCATCTGCCTTTTGGTCTGTTCTCCCCTGCTCTCCCTTCCTCCCTCTTGCTCTCCTGCTCTGCACTTGACGTGATCCCTGGAGGCATTTTCTCTGCAGCTGCTTGTCCAGACGTGTGATGGGCATAATATTTACAGGGCCCTTGTCCTTTACAGTCCAGTGCACAGACCTCACTGAGGGGTGACCCCTTGGGGTGGCACCTGAGCCTCCCTTGAATGCTGGTGCTCGCTCAACCGAGGGATGGGAAGGGGGGAGAAGCCTCCCAGCCATCAATCATCCTCGAGCCTGCCCAGACTGAGATTTGCAGTCCAGGCCTCACATAAAATTATTGTACCGTTCCTCCTCCACCTTCTCCTCCTCCCTCCATGCTTTGCTTCAGCATCTCAAACCCTCCCATTTCTGAACAGGGCTTATCTCTGGCTGAGGTGCTGTTAGGTGAGCCCCTGGCTGGTATCAGCTGGGGAGAGCTTTAGATTTTGATAAACTCAATTTTTTATTATTGCAACAGTGAGGGTTTAACACTCCTTAACTTCTCTTGGCTCATTTACTCACAGTTGGTGGTGGGAGGCAGTGTGGGAGCCCTGCAGCCAACCAGAAACATCACCCAAATTCCCTGAGTTCCCACCCGTTGCCATAGGATGCTGGTACCTTTGTGCTCCGAGGATTTCAGAGGCTGCAGAGGGATGATGTCCCGTGGTGATGTCCCTTGGCTGCTAAATAAAAGCAGCTAAATTCTGTTGTGTTAAAAAAATAAGATAAAAATAAAGCACAGAGTTATTCACACATGGCAAAAAATAGAGCTGGTATGTGATGCCTGCCTGTAGTGTACTCCAGGAGCTGAAAAGGTGTGAGCTGGCTCTCTGGAACCAAGGGAAAGGTATTATTTATAGCCAGGCTCAGTAAATCATTCTTTCGAAGGTTTGTTTCCCCTTCCTTTTGTAGCATCACTGTCCCTTTCCCTTTCCACCCACTAGCAAAATGGCACTGATTGTGCTCGAGCCTGTAGGCAGCATCCCTTCCTTCCCTGCTCCCAAACCAGAAGGCACCATGTGGCAGGGACACGTTCCCAGAGGGGGATTAAATCAATGCCGTGCACCAGGGATGAATTTCCCTGTGCCAGGCCTTGTGCTCCATCGCAGGTGGACGTTTGTTCCCAAACGTGGCCCTGTGCAGGTGCTTTGCTCCAGCAGGGATCTGACTGGGAGCCATGGGGTTATTCCCCACTTTCCCCAACGCCCTTACTTGTTTTGTAAACCAAAAACCTGGGCATTTAAAGTCCAAAGGCGTGTGCTGAGCGATCAGCAGAGAATGAATCCGTGTCCTTGCTTCTGACTTACCTGGCACGTCTTGAATAATGGATTTATCAGCATCAGGCACTGGGGAGGGGACTGGAGGCTGGTGCTGCAGGGTCCCAGGGTGTGAGGAGGGAAATCAACCTCAAGGCGGTTTTGGAGAAGCTGGTTGAGAGCAGGGTTGCTTTGGTCTCAGCTCTGCTGTGGTGGGTGCCCTCTGCGGGGGGCTGGGGGCCATGATTGTGCCATGACCCACCACAGCAGACCCTGACCCCACCTGCCCCTGGCCTGTCTTCCAGCCCAGCACTTCATCGCGGCGACGGCGTGCCAGGAGCCGGACTACGGCTGGATGATCCGGCACTACTGCCTGAAGCAGTTCCAGCTCAGCATGGAGGGCATTGGGCAGCGGCTCTGGTGCGACTGGGATGAGACTGTGGGGTAAGTGAGGCCTCTCTGCTCGTCCCTCTAGTCCTGGCACCCTGAGACCACCTGCACCTGTCTTTGGGTTTGGGGTTTTATTTCCTGGCGGGGGATGAACAAGGTGCTGTTTCACTCTGCTGCTGGGGCTACCCTGGCTCCACCCCTGCTGGGCCCAGCCCCTGCTGGGGCTTCTCCATCCTGTGGGGCCACAAGGTGAGCTTGGAGGGAGAGCACTGGACATTGTCTGCCCGGACTTCAGTGAGGCTTTTGGCACCATCTCCTGTAAGATCCCCACAAATAGGTGTGGGCTGCATGGGCAAACAGCGAGGTGGGTTGGAAACTGCCTGAACAGCCAGACCCAGGGGTGTCAGTTGTTGGACAAACACCAGTTGGAGGCCAGCAACTAGTGGTGTGTCCCAGGGGTCAACACTGCCCTGCTTAACCTCTCCATTAATGATGTGGGTGATGGTACCAAGTGTAATCCCAGCAAACCTTCAGATGACACCAAACTGGGAGGGGTGGGTGACACACTGGGGGTTGTGTTGCCATCCAGAGGCAACAAATCTAAAAGAATGGAGGAATGGGCTGATGGAACCTCCTGCAGTTCAACCAGGGGAAAGGCAAAGTCCTGCACCTGAGGAGGAACAGTCCCAGGCACCAGGACGTGCTGGGGGCTGCCCAGATAGAAACCAGCGTGGCAGAAAAGGACTTGGGGGTCCTGGCGGGCACCAGGCTGAGCATGAGCCAGAAACGTGTCCTTGTGGCAAAGAAGGGAATGGGCACAAACTGAGGCATGGGAGGTTCCCTCTGAACACCAAGAAATGCTATTCCACTGTGAGGGTGGCCAAGCAGTGGCACTGATCGCCCAGGGAGAATGTGGAATCTCCATCCTTGGAGATACTAAAAAAGCAGCTGGACATTGTCATGAGCAACCAGCTGTAGGTGGCCCTGCTTGAGCAGGGGGGTTTGGACAAGGGGAGATGGGTCTCCAGAGGTTGTCTCCAAGCTCAGCCATTCCATGGTTAAAGAGGCTTTCAGGGAGCCGAACCTGAGCAGTGTCTGGAAGTCAGGATGGTGGCTGTGCTCAACCACGTGGCTCAGCAATGGAGCTTCAGTCGAGAAGACTACAACTGTCTGGGAATCAGTGGGTTAATAAAGCAGCAGATTGGGATCCCTGTCACAGCTTCTGGTGACTCACAGCTTGATGGACATATTTTCCATGAGATTTTTAATTTTTTTCTCAGCACTCTGGTTCTCCAGTCAGTCCAAAACTCAGCTTGAAAACCCCATAACCAACTGAGAGGCCCTCAGACCCTTTCTGTGAGAAAATCCCAGGCCGTCCCACTGGACCTGCTGGCTCACCCCCTGCTTCCAGGAGTTGTGTGTTGATTTTTCTAAGCAACTAGGGGGAGAGGCTGGAATGGTATGGCATGGCAGTCCTCTGCTAAGCCTCCTGTTTGTAATCAGTGTCAGGGAGTCAGTGGTGATTTATGACTTGGGAGAAGCAGAGATGCAGCTTCCCTAGTGGAGCATCCTTGGGGGATAATGAGGGTGATAAGGGAACCCTGCTCAGTGCAGCCCCATCAGGGAGAGCAGGGATGTTGTTTATGGGAAGTGTTTTTGATTTTGGGGGAATTTCTTTCAGTTTATTTTTATTGCAAACCACCCAAACAGCACTTTCCTTGGATTAGCTCTTTCCCATTTAGGATCAGCAGAGTTTTCTCCGTACTACCATGGAGTAAATCATTCTCCTGATGAGAGGCTTTTGACTGAAGTTGTGAAGACCAGTCAGGGGTGGCCACGTGTCATCATGAGGGCTTGAAAAGAGAAAATAAACCCCCTTTTTCCACCCTCAGCTGACTTTCCATATTGTACAGCATCATTGGGATGCCTTTCCCTGGGAAAATGAAACAAAGGACAAAAATGAGCTCTTGGGACACCAGTGGGGATGGAGGTCAGCTGGAAACAGCGAGCAGGTGGTGCTGTGTGCTATGAGCTGTTTTGCCCAAAAATTAGAGGTTTTGCAAGATTTTGGTTGATTTCCTGCTTCATGGCCCTTTCTTCTGTGCCAGATTAAAAACTACACACACCTGTGTTTATGTATTTTTCGGTCAGAGGTTGGACTCAATGATCTTAGAGGTCTTTTCCAACTTTAATAGTTCTATGTTCTATTCTGTGATTCTAAACGTACATACTGGGTGTGCTGAGTGTCCCCCAGGGGCAGGACTTTGATTTTGGTCCTGGTTCAGTGCTGTCTGCAGGCTTGATGAGCTCAATCCATCTTCTCCCCCAGCAAAGCCACTGCCCAGGGAGCAGAGGTGTTTAGAAGAGCTTGTTATCTCTAACATCCTGTTTTTCTCCTAAATAGCTTCAACTAAACTCGTTATCCTTGAGGCTCGTGGAGGAAATGTTGATAAGCTTGCAGTGTTTAATTTGATTGCCTGAGTCCATTTGCTCCCTGTGAACACATGGCTTGGGGTCACTTAAGAGATGACATTCCTCTGATCCTCTTGTGCCCTCAGGACACTGGGAAAAATCAGGCAGAAATAGCTCAGCTACTGCAGTAAATAAGCTGCAAGGATATGGGGTTTGGTCGTCCGCCTTGCTCAGCAGCCTTTGCTCCCTGAGTGTGTGTGGGAATCACCAACCCCTTTCGGACAATAAGCAGGAGTGGGTAGGGGGTGGCATAGGTGGGTGGTCACCCCTCTGGCTTAAGGGGAAGGATTTGACTTCCTCCAGGTGTGAGATGAAGAAATGGAAATAACCCACCTTTTGCCTGGAGCCTGTTCTTTCCGTATCTTCCCCCAAACCAAGGAATTTTGATGCTTGAAACCTGTCTGAAGCAAGGAGAAATGCTGTGAGGTTTTGCCTCTGCCAGGGCCTGTACAGCTTCAGGTTTGGAGCTGTGATTTCCTGTACAGCAGCATTTAGCAGGAAAGAGCCTGTAAGGCCCATCATTTCCTGCTCAATTGAGGGTGACACGATGGGAACATCTGGATAAATGAATTGTCTCAGCAGAGTTTGTAATTGTGGTTCGTTGGTCCTGTTTATAGGCTGCAGATGCTGCTCCCATCTTACCCTCAGAGGCATTACCTGAGCTCTGGCCTCACTGATGCTGCAGCATTCCGATGCAACCGAGGGGTCTCTCGGCACCAGGAGTGTTTGGTCAGGTTGGGCTTGGACCATGTGGACAAGCACCAGCTCTCTGGGAAGGTTTGTCCAACACCATTGAGCTCTGCTGGCTTCCTCAGCCATGCTTATTTAGGGAAAGTCGATGTTTCTGGATATGCAAGTCTTTATTATGGACCAGGGGAACTCGTGTGAGCTGCTACACACTTTGGGAATGGGATGCCAGGTGGTTTTTAATTTAATAATTCATTCCAGAATGACACTGGCCATGAACAGTGTCTCCTGGGAAGGGAGAAGGACTGGAGTGTCCTTCCACACTGAGAGGTGTTTTCCCTTGGGTCATCTGGTTTTCCTCCCTGTCCTCCTCCCCAAAGGCCGAGCATTCCAGCATGGCCTCGGGTGCTCCTTGGATCCTCAGCATTCTGGTGTTTTGTTTTCCAGGGCTTGCGGCTGCCCTGGGATTTAAAAGCCAGACTGGAGCTGCAGCAGGGGCTCCTCCATGCCATGGGCTCCTCCACTCCATGGTGGTGGCCGAGCTGCTTTAGCCAGGAGCTCAGCTGTGCAGGATGAATTCTCCCAAAGACCAACTTGGCTGTTTTGATTCCAGGTCCAAATTCATCGGCATGGTGATTGAGCCGGGGGATTAGCTGAGGTCTCCCTGGGGGTAGCTATTTTGGGGATGTGGAGCGCTGCTGGCAGAGCTGGGGCTGCTGGAGGGGTCGGGTGCCGGCCGCCCACCCGCGAATGCGTCAGCAGGAGCTGGTGACTTGCAGCTATTTTTCCTGCTCGGCTCTGGCCGTGGCCAGGGAATGGATTTGCCTGACGGTCCGTGCACGGCGTCGGCGCAGCAGGACGGGGGGACGCAGCTGCGGGTGTCACTCCAGCCAAGCAAGGCATCCTCATCCCAAATATATCCACCCCGCGGCATGCCTAAATATCTCCAGGGAATGCTTTCCCCTCGCCGCGGGCATCCTGCGGGGAAGGAGCTCCCCGGCGGGAGCGTGCTGGTCTGACAGCTGCAGCCAGGGGTGGAGCTGCCTGCTCCCGGCTCGCCTGGTACCCGGCCCTGGCTGGGGGCTGCTCCCGCAGCTGCCAGCACGCTCACGCTGTGCCTTCACGTTATTTGTCCATGATTTACACAAAACAGATTGATCCGTTCCCTTATTATCTCATTATCTACTTATTTATCTTCAGCTTGCCAGGTCCCACTGGATACCCCTTCATCCTGTCTCCGAGCTTGCACCGCAGAGGAGGAAATCAGTGTTTTCTTTTAATTTACAAAGCAAAAGGAAAACCCTGTGGTGTTTTTCTCTTCCGAAGCATGGAATTTGGGTAGGATAGGAAATATCTTCATACTTGTGGCAGAAGAGAGAGCTGTCAGTCCTGTGAACCCCAACCACAGTGTAACACCGCCCGCATCCAGGTGTGGTCAAGGAATAAATGTCAGATCCAGTTCTAGTCTTGTTTGCAGCGGTAAAAACACAGAGGAATTCCTTGGGATTTATAGCAGTGTAAGCATTTGGATGCCATCAAACCCTTAATCAGTCCTTGACTGCTTCCCACCAGCAGCCTGGCCCTATCCCCATTCATCCCCATCCCCACAGCGTCCTTTAAACCTAAACCTTTTCCAAGATGACAAGGAAAACAGTTTTAATTGCAGTTCATATTGGGTAAGGAAAAATATTGAGAAGTAAGCTAGGCTGTACTTTTCAGGGCCAGCTGCCTGTCTCCCTGCAGTGGTGGGAGCTCAGTAATCACAACAACGGAGAAAAGGCCTTCTCCAAGTGGGATGAATGTTAGAAGATATAGAGAAAGAAAGCCAGAATTCGTGACTTGCTCACACAAGTTGTTTGGGACAGAAGCTGTAGCTCTGTCAATAAATTGTTCAG